GTTTCGGATGGCTTACACCCAAGGAGATTAGCCTCATCAATAATATCAAGGGCATATTTACACTGATTTAGGACCATACCATCGTGAGAACGAGCACATTCGATCCCCAAAAAATAGGACACAAGACCAAGATCCTTGAGATGAAAGCAGTCATCCAAATATTTCTTGAACGAAGTACACAAAGACTTGTTGTTACCTGCCACTAAAATATCATCAACATAAACAAGAACAACCAACATGTCAGGACCACGTTGAAGAACAAAAAGAGTGTGATCAGCATGAGCCTGACGAAAACTATAACGTCGTAGAGCAATACGAAGCTTGGTGAACCAATTACGAGGAGACTGACGAAGGCCATACAGAGACTTACGAAGACGACAAACCTTCCCTGGAAAGAGGTGAGTGTAACCTGGTGGGACTTTCATGTAGACTTCCTCCCGTAAATCACCATGCAAGAAAGCATTATTAACATCCAACTGATCGATCAACCTGCCACCCACGAGCCACTGCAACAGATAATAACACACGAACAGTGGCTAATTTAGCCACTGGGGCAAAAGTGTCAGTATAATCAACTCCAAGCTCCTGATGATTGCCCAAAACAACAAGGCGTGCTTTGTCACGCTCCTTAGTACCATCAGACCGATATTTTGTCCTATACACCCATTGACAACCAAGAGCACGCCGATTAGGAGGAAGATCAACCACATCCCATGTATGATTACGTTCCAGAGCCAAGTATTCAGTAGCCATAACTTCCCGCCACGAAGCAAACTGAACCGCTTCACGGAAATTGTGGGGAACACTCGTGGCATCAATAGCTCCAAGAAAACCTTTGTACCTGTCATGCAACTTAGAAGAATGAACAAAGTTAGTGATAGGAAACCGAGTACCAGATTGTGACGGAGAGGAAGAGAATGGATCCGGAGTGACGATCTTTGCGGAATGAAGGACATAGTCATTTAAATGAGATGGACGACGACGCGTGCGAGGCGGAAGGGGTGGAGGTATAGGCGGTGGAGAAGTGGTCTCCACCGGAGAAGACACGGCGCTGTCGTCGTCTGATGAGGAGACGGTGGAACTGTCGGGACTGGAAGGAGAAGAGGACGGGGACGGAGACTATGACACTGCCGGCTGCTGGGTTGGGACTGGTACGGCAGTGGGGGCGGGAGACACTGCCGGCAGTTGTGGTACTGGTTCGGCAGGGGTGACGGAGGTTGGAGGGACAAAATCGACAGGAGATGGTGTGAGGGTGGGTTGAGGAACAGAAGAGGGAGTAGGAATTGCAAACGGAAAAGTAGTTTCATCAAAAGAAATATCCCTCGTATGGAAAAATTTATGTGTGTCAAGATTATAAACTCTCCACCCTTTGGTCCCATATGGATAACCCATAAACACACATTTGACACTTCGTGGGGAAAATTTATTTCTGGGTTTGGGAATAGAATGGACAAAACAAAGGCACCCAAAAACCCGAAGATGACTGAGATCTTGAGGTTTACCGGAAAGAACTTCGAGAGGAGATTTACCACCGAGAATTTTAGTGGGTGTACGATTAATTAGGTAAACTGCAGTTTTAACACACTCCCCCCAAAATTCTAGTGGAAGAGACGCTTGAAACATAAGGGAACGGGCGACATTCAATATGTGACGATGCTTACGTTCTACCCGGCCATTTTGTTGTGGGGTACCAACACAAGACGTTTGAATACACACACCCAAGCTTTCATAATATTGACGCAACGAGGAATTGAGAAACTCTGTACCATTATCAGAACGAATAACTTTTATTGTTTTGGAAAACTGAGTGTGGATCATAGTGAAAAAACGACGTAAACAGGAGGTGACCTCACTTTTAGACTTTAATTAGCAAATAAACCCAAACAGCCCGAGAACAATCATCAACAATAGTCAAAAAATAATGTGCCCCAGACGAAATACAAGGTGAATAAGGACCCCACAAATCACAATGAATTAAGTCAAAAATAGCATCAGCTTTATTATCACTGGTACGAAACGAAGAACGAGTTTGCTTGGACAAGAAACAAATTTCACATGTTTGCAATTTCCGGACAACAGACTGAGTTTTATTGGTACCAACAAAAGAAAGAACATCTGCGGAGGGGTGGCCCAACCGTTGATGGAGAACAAAAGGATCAATATTAGCTACGAGGGCTGACGCAGGAACTGAAGCAAAGACATACACGCCATTTCGCAAATCACCCTGACCAATCACCATCTTCGACAAACGGTCCTGTATCACACAACAATGATCATTAAAAATTACACAACAAGTATTATCACGAATTAAACAGCCCACAGAAATCAAATGACAATGTAAGTTTGGTACGTATAACACGTTACGAAGTACCAAACGAGAAGATAAATGCACACTTCCTTGTTTAACAGCCTGAACACGAGACCCATCAGGGAGACATATGGAATAAGGAGACACGTCCTCAACATTAAATAAGTGGGCAAGAGAACCTGTCATGTGATGCGAAGCACCACTATCAATGAGCCAGTTGGAAAAAGAATTACCGGTGTATGCATGAGATGCCGAGGCCTCTAACATAGACATCAAGCGGGACATTTGATCACTGAGGTTGCCACTCGAGTCCGACACGGAAGCATGAACTGCAGCCTGACCGCCGCTGCCACTACCCTTGACGGGCTGCCCACTGCCGGCAGGAGCTGGAGAAGCGCTGCCATGGCGAGGAGCACCACGGCCACCTGACGAGGAGCCACCACGACTGCCACGACCATGTCCTCCACCACGAGCAAATTGTGCTAGAAATCCAATAAGCTCAAAACATGTGTCCACGCTATGATTTGTATGACCACAATGCGAATAAGATCTGCTTGGACCCGGAGGACGTTTGTCAGGTCTAGCAGCAAACGCAACAGAGTCCGTGCGATCATCTCGATTACGAATAATGTGGCGATGACGCTCCTCTTGAGTTACCAAAAAATACGCACGGTCGAGATCAGGCACGGGTTCTGTACCAATAATTTGTGAACGAATATTTCCGAATTGTTCATCATCCAAACCAAGCAAGAAATCCACAGTCTTGTCACGTTCATTACGAGCACGTGTGACTGCCGCGGCTTCACACCGGCAGCCCCCGGTGAGATCAGAAGTACCATTTAATTGATTCCACAAGGTAATGAATTGATTGTAATAAGAGACAACACTTTGACCCTTTTGACGGAGAGAGTTCAACTCTGATTTTAATTGGTAGACACGCGGCCCATTGGAACAACTATAGCGTTTCTTCAAATCATCCCACAACTCATAAGCAATTGAGTGAGACACAATACTAGGTTGAATGGATTCATCAACACTATTAAAAATCCAACTACAAATAATTTGATGATTTGCACACCAAGCAGACAACTCGCCTTCATCAACAGGTTTGGGAACTCCCGCGGGTGACAAAAAATAGCTTTTCCACGACCACCCAACACATTACGGATTGCCTTCTCCCACACATTAAAATTATCACTTTTGAGGAGATATTTTGTCAAAGAATTACCCGGACCTTCGGAGGGATGAAGATAATATATGGAGGAGGCATCATGAATCAGTCGTGCCTTTTTAGGGTAAGAAGAAGCGACTACTTCTCCAGACATGGTGACGATCGGCAAAGAAGACACGAAGGACCCGACGAACTGTCGGCGACGAACTTTGACGGAGAACTGACGACGAACCGACGACTAACACTCCGGACAGCACACGAACGAAAGCACGAGCTTAGGGTTTCGAGAATTTGCCCTAGGAAAGCTCTGATACCATGTAGAAACTAATTTACTTCAAGCTTGTGTTTTCCATTATTCACAGGAGATATATATATATATATATATATATATATATATATATATATATATATATATATATATATATATATATATATATATATATATATACATGACAGAGTAAGTAGCTACGGGCCCATAATATACACGGCCCAATACATGAGAAACAAATATGTACAAATATATTAAGCTAAAGTCAACCAAAATTACACCTTCCTTATTTTGTCTCAAAGTAAAAATAGGGAGTGTTTAAAAGAACGGAGGGAGTATATTTTTTCTATTTTTTACTCCCTTCGTTTAAAAAAGAATTACCATTATTCAAAAGTCACAAAAACTTTTATTTATTTTTACATTTTATTTGATTATTTGAAAAAATAAAATATTATTTTCACTTTATTTTGATATAATTTTTTTAAATATATAATTTTTATTTTTAATATCAATATCAACTTTTGAACAAAATGAATTAAAGAAACATGGAATTTCACTCATTTCCTGTAGAGTGTGTAAAGGGTTTCTAGACGGGTGGTGTATTTAAAGTGGAGTAAATGATTAAAAAAAGTAATCATTGAAGACACTTTATGACTTATGGTAAATGAGCTGTGGTGTAAATGAATTACGTATTTTACAATTTTAGTTTTATTTATTCAGAAAATTACTTTGGGACATTTGGGACACCTTCAATTTTGTGATAATAATTCCCAAGTTTCATATTATCTAAAATATATTTCTGGGTATTCTCAATTTTATGGTAAGAACTCTCAAGTCCATATTATTTGAAATATACTATGAGAGTTCACATTATTAATTTATTTAATTTATTCAATACCCTCTATGTCTCTAATTTGAATATTTGATTATAAATTGAGAGTTAGGAGGCAAAGTTCTTCGTTTTTTGAAATCATTTTATTTACAAATGTGTGCATTAATAAGAAAAAAATTACATATTAAAATACTTTGTCAAAAGTTCTACAAAATGAAAGGAGACAAGAATATTTTATTATATCAAATATTCAATGAAAACATACAAATAAACAAAAGTTATCAAGAAGAGAGAAAAAAAAATTGTAGTCTATTTCGAGACATAAAAATATATAATTTGTGAAGTGCATAAATAAAATTACTCCTTAACATTTACGGCGTATATCTTTCTAGAATGTTGACAATAAGAAACTCACCGGTAATACACGGAGTACGGAGTACATACTAGAGTACTATAAATATGTGATGGACGGTGAAAAGAAAAATTAATTAAACAAAACTACTAGTTGTGGGTACTTAATTAATTAAGTATGCAGACGATGAAGTACTCTTGGTGGTTGGGCGAGAAGGCAGTACAGTCGCCGGCGGTGGTATCAAACCGCCGCAGCGACCCGCTTGCCGCCATAGCTTTTGTCGCTAATATGCGTTTCACATCATTCTCGTTCTTGTTGTTAACGTCGTTTCTTGTACTCTCATCCATAGGAGCATCTGGTAACTCTGAAGGTAGTCCATATATACTTTCCCTTTAATTTATATGTATAGAAAAATTTTGCTCAAAATAGGACTAAAAGATAATAGCTTCTCACCTAGTATGTTTTCTTCCCGGCCTTTAAAATCAAAATTAAAACTCCCATGTTTTCCGGGACGGAGGGAGTAAGTCATTTCTTTCTCAAAGACATGACATTTTAGAACTTTCTATTGTCAAATGTTAAAAGTAAAATTAGGATTGGTTATTTTCAATTTAGTAATCCTTATTAATGCATATATGTGACGGGCATGCATGCATGCATGCAGTTGAAGCTTTGGATGCACTGAGGAAAAACTTGGGCGATCCAAACCTTGTTCTGCAGAGCTGGGATTCATCCCTACCTGATCCCTGCCTCTGGTATCATATCACCTGCAACTCCGACAATAGCGTTACACGAATGTAAGCTGCTGTTCATCTGCCATACATGCATGCAGAGAGAATTTAATTTAATGCTACTCCCTCCGGCGGTCCTAATTAAAAACTTATCCTATTTTGATTTTTTTGGTCAAATGATGAGACCTTTTGACCACAAATTTTAGATTATGGTTTGTGGTTAAAAAATGTCATTGTTTAACCAAAAAAATCAAAACATGAAAGATTCTTAGCTAGCTTAGAGACTCGAATCAGATCACACTCTCATGTTTTTTTTGGTATGTACGTATTTACTTCTTTTTTTTAGTGATCTCGGAAATGCCGGTTTATCGGGTCAACTCGTCCCCGAGCTTGGCAACCTTACGAATTTACAGTACTTGTAAGTTTTTTTTTTTGCTAAATCAAGCTAATATTTATTTCATTTTTGTGATCCATTATTGTAGATCGAATTGTGTGAACTAGCTAACATGATAGATCGATCTCATGTATGTTTAATTTCCAGGGGACTATATGCAAACAACATTGGTGGTGAAATTCCAATGGAACTTGGCAATTTAGAAAATCTAATTTCTTTGGATCTCTATGATAACAGCTTAAATGGTTCTATCCCTCATACTTTGGGTCAATATTTTCACCTTAGATTTCTGTAAGTTGCATCGATTAGTAGTAATTCAATTTCTCATTTCCATTTGGTCTTTCGTTTCTTATTTTTATAATTATTTGGTGGGATTTTGAAGGAGGCTCCAAAATAACCGTTTGATTGGTACTATTCCCAAGTCATTAATCACGCTCTATACGCTCGAAGTGCTGTAAGTAAAACGACATAATTAAATAAATGAATAAATTGATGTAATTAACATTTATATTGTTTTAATACATATCATAACATATGGTTTAATTAATTTTCAGGGATCTTAGCAATAACAAACTCACTGGTCCCATTCCTACAGAATTGAGTCTCATTACTAGTTTGAAACACGGGTACGCACCCCCGCTCGCCTTTCTATTTTTTTTTTTAGAAAAATTATTATTTCAAAAAAGTGGGATTAATTTTGAAATAACACAAGGAAAAGTGATATTATTTTTGAAAGAGTGCGAAAAGGTGGATTATTTGAGATAACTTTTCTTTCTTTTTTTTCATTTGACCAATTCAAATGAATATTTAAGCATGACCAAAAATGGTAGATTTTGAGTATGATGGAGATCGGGCCCACGAGATAATTGTATGAGTGGGCCTGATTAGCAAATACCTGACGGAATACCGCGATAAGCGAAGGCGGCCCATCAGAAGAACGAGAGTGGGCCAAGGGATAACTGATGAGAGGGCTAGTGCATGCCCATAAGAATATTATAGATTTATGGAAATTATGTTGTTATATGAAACAAGAGAATTTGGCTATGATGCAAGATTGGAAAGAGACCCTAATCCTTCTAGGATCCTGATACCCAATTTATCTACCAATGATAAGCATAAATTGACACTTCCTATTAAGGGAGGAGGATCTGGAATTCATTGATTACACGACATAGATTTATATTTTTTTTCATATTTTTTGTGATCAGATCATTTTTTAGATCAATCAGAGTAATTTCGTCCACTGTCAATGAATCTAAAAAAATCCCCCCTCTACATAGCCTTATAAAATCACAATATTACATAAATAGCACTCCCTTAGTTTTTTTGACTTAAATGAGAATTCCCGCGTAAAGGCATTCCAAGTATACCTTTTTAGTGATTTTTTTGACTTCCTTAGTTTTATTTATAAAGTTATTCTCTTTTCATAAATGTAGCGGTTGCTTTTTAAGCATTCTTTACACATTCTTTTCGCTCAAATTCTTCGTGACGTTTTAATTTCAGCTCTTGTTTTAAACTCGAAGAATTTTAAATGCTTTTTAAATTTATACGTTTTTGCCTTTTAGATATATCACAAAATTTCAAATATGTATGAATATTTATTTTAGGGAGGAGAGAATATTATTTATAAAAATCTTTGTCTTTGACAATAAGCTAAGCACCCTAATTCCGTCCTATTGGTAATATATACTCCGTATTTATTTCCATGTCTCAGAGATTTGTCAGGCAATTGTCTTGATGTTGGAGGGAATCCCTTAAGTTCTGATCCCAGGTAACTCTATCCCAATTTAATTTGTTCCACCATTTATCATTTGGGTGAAATACCTAATATATGCTTAAAATACCCAATATAGTACTGCTAAGAGATATTGAAACTTTTGTGGATGAAATTTCAAATTTGTTCTTGCATTTCACACTGTCAAAAAATGTGTTTAAGTTAGTATACACTTCCAGAACATTGACATAACACACTACCAGAATGTGTGTGTGTGTGTATATATATACACACATACATACAAGCGCGCACACAAACGAAGTATTTCTTTTGCATCATACTGGTTTCCACCTCTTCCTCTTTTGCCTTTCAAAATTAACCATTCATTTCAAAAAAAAAAGGTGTGATTCTTATTGTTTTAATCTCATCTACATAAATGTATATCACACAATTTTACATTGCTCAAATTTTGTTTAGAAAAATATTAACTCTTCAGAAGATCGAGAAAGTATATGGTTTTTTAAAATTATTATTGCAAGCTTTTAATTTCTTGATTTAGTATGATGTGTTTTAAGTAATTAATGGAGCTTGATTTTTTTATATTTTAGGTTTATCTTGGATAACAATTCCGATCCAACACGTTGTGCTTGAACAACGTAACTTGTACGTGGAATGTATGCATGTGATTGTGCAATCATCGTATCATCATTTGTTGATTAGTCAAGTTTCCTTATAATTAAGTGTTCGTAACTATTTGTGTTTTGTTTTGGTTGCTTAAGTATGTGCACCCATCCAATATATTTGGATGATGTTTTAATAATAAATAAGTTCTATGTGTGAGAACTTGTAACAATAACGTATCTACTCATCATGTTATCATTTTATGTTCAGTTAATGTCTATTGTGTGTTAGCTTTTATTCAGTTGATCTTTGATCAAATTATGTTTGGCTATAATCTTCCAGCCTGCCATTGTAATTTTAATCTTTCGTTCAAATTATTATATTTTATGTTCGAATCTAATCGAGTAAAAAAAGTACCAAGACAATTAGACATTTTTTATCGAAGGACTTATAGATTTATGTATAATATATCAACGGCTCTGGGTAGGCCTATGTTCGTTTGACATTGGAAAAAATTACTCAGTACTTCAAAAAAAATTTCTAATTCATTTTGTAAAAAACAAGAAATATTTGCACTAAATAGCACTAAAACTTAAATCATTTCCCTAAATAGCACATATACTATTTTATTTCTAAATAGCACTTAATAATGTTTATAATGTCCAGTGATAGTGAATATTTACTTGAATAATGACAAATGCATAATGACTAAAAGTGTTACATTCGAAAAAAATACATGTGATGTTATTTAGGAAAAGTCATTATGTTTTAATGCTATTTACATAAATTCTCCAAATGAAAATTATTGAATTATGATACTCGTACTAAACTTGATCACATCGATGCAAAAAAAAAAAACTTCGATTCATCACATTCTAAGTAGGTGTGGTATATACTTGAATGCCATTAGCTTGTCAAAGAATTTCTTTTTTCATTCAAGAACTAAATCTACTACTAGAATATAGGCACCATCTCCATAGAGATCTTGCTTGAAACAAAAGTGTCTCACACGAGTTGCTCGAAACTCAAAATCAATTGGCCGACATTCTCGTCATTTTTTATTTTGAATGACATTATTGCCAATTGATTCATTGAATTTGATGTATGGGAGGAATGAACTTGAAAATTCTGGATATCTCATAAGGTGCATGGGGGGCACGGTATCGGTCTAGTTCGTGTTTTAATTCTGAAACCACCGGTTTGAGTACTCATTTTAATTGTATAATTGAATCCAAACTTCTTCCTTGGTAGTAAATATAATGAATCAACCTAAAACAATTTGAAAATAAGCATTAAAAACAATATATAAAAACTAAATCAATATTCACTCCGACTGATATTGGTGCCAAAAATTGAAAATCGAACCGGAATCTTTAACCGACGGTTCTAAAACCGTCGATTCCTATTCCGAATATCCGGTACCTGTTTGGAATGAGAACCGTGAAAGAAGTATCAATTAAAATGTATGGAGTAACTAGTTTTTCTCTATTATGCTATACATTTTGGTTTTTGGTTTCAGATCCCTAACTAGTGCTCTCCTAGAGAGTATCAAACTACGGAGTTCATAGTATTAATTACCCAAGTAGTTAATTAAGTATACCATTAGTAATACACATACCCAAAATATCCTTTAATCCAACCCTGACTATTAACCTTATCTCACTCAGCGAGCCAGCGGCTGCCTCATCGCAACCCACCGCCAATTATACAACCTGTCTTCGCCTGCACTACTGCTCGCCGTTTAATTTTGTAGTGCTATGTACTAAATTCACATTGTTAAAATTTAGTATGGGGGATTATGTCATAAAATACTTTGACTAAATCTCATAAAAAGATTGAATCTAATCGATTACTTTTTAATACAATGAATACACTTACCACATCCTAAATTTTACCATATTCAAAATTTAAATGGTCATGTAAGGGTATTTATTAGGGGCATGCTAGGGATACACTAAAGTGTTGTACCCCATATATTTGTACACTAAACAAACATGGATACTAAGAGCATGCTTTTTAGGACTGAAAAAAAAGAATGAAAAGTTTGAAGAAACTAGATGTATGGAAAAAAGAGCTTTATGTTTTGCTCCTAGTTTACTCTTTTTTCTCTAAAATATTTTGACTTTAAAATTTTTTTATAAAAATTTGAAAAATTATAAAAACAGTGACATGGAAAAATTAAAAAAAATGAAATAATTTATAAGCTATAGTTATGATCATAACGAATCATAAAAATAGTGACATGGAAAAATTAATAAAATGAAATAATATAGAGAAATTTACCTAAATATGACTAAAACATAATGACTTTCCCAATATAGGACTATATGTTTTTATTTCTCAATGTAGGACTTTTGGTCATTATTAAGTAGTCATTATTCAAGTAAATGTCCATCATTATTGGACATTATTCCTCCCAGTAGGTCATTATTAAGAGGGGTGTATTCAACCAAGATTCTGACGGATTTTTTTGGATTCTGAAAATCCATAGGTATTCAATTCAGATTTTAAAAAATCGTTTAAAATCTGGGTATAATCAACTCAGATTTTAAAATATTCTTCTAAATATGATGGTATTAGAAAATCGATAGATTTTGAAAGATTTTAAATAATGTGGATTGTGATATTTCTATGCCTTGCATATAAATATAAATCCTGTTCCAAATCCGATCAACAGACCTCTGATTTTGCGGATTCTTTTTCATTCTCCTTCTTCGATCGGTCTTCCACAGTTCCACGCCTCCCCCTCTTCTTCTTCTTCTTCTTCGATGAGCAGAACCGCCGACCGCGAGATGGTTCTTCGCAATTACTCCACCAATTTGAGCTCAAAGCTTCAGATTTTTGGAAATCTAGGATCGCCTACAGCTAGGGATTTCGTATTAGAGCTTATCGTGCTGGTTTTTTATATGAATTTTGAGAAATCGAAGGTCAACGCCAGCGTTTCCACACCCGTTTGATTTCCATTCAATTTTTGGAATTTTGAGAATGGGATTTCACTGTTCATTCTTCGGATTTGGTGTATGACTGTCAATGGTTTTTGGGGTCCAGATTGTGAGGTTCCCATGGAATGTTAAGTACTTGTTTATGTTGTTTTGGTTATGGTTACTTCCATAGTTCCATGTACTGGTGTTCTTGTTTTTGTCTACCACTGGGTATCGTGATGGACCGGCACCACTGCAGGGGCTTGACGGGGAGAAGCTGGGTAGGGGTAGGGGGAGGGGAGTGAGAAGGCTCTCCATCATATTCCGCGGGGCGGCGGGAGGCGGCTTGGGAGCCGATACCGTTGCAGAGCCTTCCGCTTCAATCCAAAGCCTTCGGCGTTGCAGACTTGCAGAGCCTTCGGCTTGGGAGGCGACAAGGTTTCAATCCAGATGCGAATGTCTTGCTTCAATCCAGACCCTTCAGTCTCCTTTTTTTTATTTTTTTTTCTTTTTTTAACACTTTGGGTTGGAAATAATCCTTTAGAATCTTGATAAATCTTTACATAGAAATCTATTGAAGTCTACATAGAATTAAAACAATCCATAAATCTTACATAGTCTATAGATTATAAAAAATCTAACACAATCTTTTAAAATCTTTGTTGAATACACCCCCAAAGTCTTATTTAGGAAATAAAAAAGTTTAAGTCCTACATTAAGAAAGTCATTATGTTTTAGTCCTATTTAGTGTAAATTTCACAATAATATATAAGCTATAGTTATGAACATAATAGTTGTAATAATAATAATAATAATAATCACATTAAAAATATATCATTTTTAAAGTAATTGTTTGGGAGTATAAAGAATTTGAATAAAATGAGAATAGCTAGAAAAAACGGAAAGAAACTAGAAGAAACTGAAAAAAACTGAAAGAAACTTAAAAAAACTACTCCCTCCGTCCCTAAATAAACTTCCTTTTTCGTTTTTTTTGTCTCCAAATAAACTTCTCTTTTCCCTTAAAAAAACCTCTTTTATCCATTACTTTTTCATACCCTACCTATCACATCATACCTTTTTACTAATAATCTATCTATTACATCTTACTTTTACACATCACATCAAGAGTGTTTTTGGAAAGTCAACACAAAAATATCCCTCCCTTAAATCCTCAAAAAGTCAAAAATAAAAATTTATTTAGGGACGGAGGGAGTAAAAGTTAAGAATTAAAGTTCTAAACAACACAATATAAGTGTCTGTATTCACAAACACTTAATGTTTGTATTTATGTGGTGTGTAGCTTTATTGATTTCTTGGACTTGTACTTTTTCGGTCCTTTCACTTTAGCTTATAGTACGTCAATGCATCAAACCTTGTTCCAAAAACCTTGTTCCAAAGGTGTTCAATAATTTTTGTTTGAGTGTGTTTTTTATTAGTCATTATTTTGATAAAATAAAATATGTAAAGTTTACTTTTTATTTTTGTATTAATTTGTAAAGAAAATAATTTTAAAAGAAATGGAAGTTTACAAGTAAACAAAAAATAAAAAGAGTTTTGACGAACTAAGAAAGTATATTAATAATTATACTCTTGATGTGATTGGTAAAAATAAGATATAATGGGTTGATAATTAATAAAAAAGATATGGTCTGATAGATAGGTTAAGAATTAGTAAGGGTAGAAATGGTTTTTAATAGAAAATGAAAAGATTTTGTGAAACAACAAAAAATGAAATGAAAAGAAATTTTTGGGACGAGGGAGTATTACTTTTTGCACAATAAATCTGTTGAAATCATTTTTCTCATCTTTTTCTGGCTTCACCGGAACATTTTCTTCCAAGTATTCCTCCGCAATCATCTCCGTATAGTTTGGTGCTTAACATTATCGATTCCAAATTATTTCGTCTGTCCCTAAAAAATTACTCCGTACTACTTTTTAATTTTTTTGGTTAAACTATGGTAGTCTTTGATTGTGAATTATTGAAAAAGTGTATTTAGTTATAATGCAAAATTTAGTAAAATTGATTTTATTGTATAAAAAAATTTGAAATATCAAATTTTTATAACATTTAATTATTTTAAAATATATTTAATTTATGATCAAAGGATGCCATATTTTGACTAAAAAAATCAAACTATAGCATCTTTTAGGGATGGATGGGATCCAGTTTTCAGATTCAACTCTTCGGCAATCTGTTTTCCTCTTTCACTTTTATTACAAACGTACTTTTTTATTTAAAAATAAAAAAAAGTATTTTCAGATCCAAAATAATCGGCAATTTGTTCTCCTCCTTCAATCATTTGTACAGACATACGGAGTACTTTTGTCTGTAAATTAAAGTTTTAAAAGAAGTAATATAGAATTAATTGCTGACGAATGCTAAGAGACGATGTATTTAAAGTAAATGATTAAAAAGATGGAATCATAGAAGGAAGAAACACCAAAATAAGATTAAAACATTAAAAATATATCAAAATAGGACTTCCATGTTTTTATTCTCGAAATAGGATTTAAAATGCATTTACATTACCAAATATGGTCATGTACATTACCAAAAAGTATAGTAATGTGCACATGTTCAATACCACATTACAACCACATTACCACAGTGTGAAGTCCTATTTTGGAAAAAAACATGAAAGTCCTATTTTGATACTTTTTTCTATGTTTTAGTCCTATTTAGGGTGATTTCAAATCATATAAGAGGCTATCTGACGTATGCTAAGAGAGCTGTAATAAGTAAAATGGATTACGTGTTTTAAATTTGTCTATTTATTTATTTTAGAAATATTTGCACTAAATAGCACTAAAACTTAAGTCATTTTCTTTAAATAGCACTAAAACTATTTTATTCTCTAAATATCACTTAATAATATCGAGAAGGAGGACTAATGTCCAGTGATGCCGAACATTTACTTGAATAATGACTAATGGATAATGATTAAAAGTTCTACATTGAGAAAAAACACATATGATACTATTTCGAGAAAATCATTATGTTTTAGTGATATTTAAGTTAATATACTCCCTACATCCCATATTGAATGCCACACTCTAAACAATGTATAAAAGCTCATCATTTCTTAAATTATTTTAATTACAAATTAGTATAGAAATAAAACGTATAAACTACAGCGTTTAAAAGTACAAAAAAATTCCATAAAATAAGAGATGAGAAAAATATTTTATTTCATCAAGTTAGAATTGAAAACATACCAACAAACAAAAGTTATTGAGATGCCGTAATAGTGATAGTGCGTAGTGTCCATTTCGGGACGGAGGGGATATAATCTATGAAGTCCATAAGTAAATTAACATTTACTTGAGTATATCTTTGATCTTTCTAATGCATAGCATAATGCTTTTGAAGGATCCCAGCGATAACAAACTAGTCACTGGTACCATTCCTCCGACTTCTAGTGCTTTCGCGCGCCCGCGTTCGGACCCGAACTCGCACTATGTGATCTCGAGTTGAACATTGAGTACCGATGATTCAACTTGAGAGGAAGTGTAGGAAATCTCAAAGTAAATTACACCCGAAAGAGACAAATGAAATAACTTTGAACCAGTTTGTCTAAAGTTATTTATTAACTTTAGCAAAATTTGAGACTTCTTTTCCCGTAATTTATGATACCATATAGTATGATTTCAATTAGGATAGTTGTTTCGTGGGTCTTTCACTGCAATGTACTCACTCGTTGTATTTAAGGGAATGCCATCCTTTGGTAATAGTAAGATGAAATGATAATAAACACATTCTTCGATCTATATTCTCTAGCTATATTTAATACTACACACTTCTATACCGCAGTGACCGGTTCGGCGCCACAGCTTTTGCCGCAAGCTAATATGCATTTCGTATCGTCGTCGTCTTTGTTGTTGTTAACGTCATTTCTTCTGCTCTCATCAATGGAAGTATCTGGTAACTCCGAAGGTTGTCCATACCTTTCCTTTTATCGACCAGATCATTCATTCTTTCATTCATGTGTACGTAGTGTTTCAGAACGTAAGTTAGAGTACGTCGTTCAAGGCTTAATTAGAACACTTAGCCAACAACATATATAATGTCTCGAATAAAAGCCACTATGAAATGTGGATCGATGAACTCGTAGTACTCTTATTATTTGGGAGTAAATTCCATAATTAGTCCTTTATAACAGGGGGGTTTCCATATCTAGTCCTCTATTATCAAATATTACCCCTGTAGTCCTTTTTTAAGGGTACCTTTCCACAAATGGTTCTGTTTTTGATCTTCTGTCGTGTTGGTGTTAATTTAAAGGCTAAAAGTATAATTTGACGTCAACATTATGTCTAGTGACGTGTTCTGATATTGGTTAAGCGGATAACACAAAAATAATGACTATGATTGTGGGCTAGGATTCTAACGAAAGATCACATTTGTAGACTATAGTTGTCGTAAAAAGCGACTGTAATTCACAAACGACGCTAACAGAACAGCCTTTGGAATTGTGTATGACAAAAAAGATATATTATCATTGTGAAATTACACTTTAGCCCTCAAATTAACACCAACATGATAGAAGATAAAAAAAAAGGACTATTTGCGGAAAGATACCCATAAAAGAAGGACCACTTGGGTAATATTTGATAATAGAGGACTAAATAGGGAAATCCCCCTGTTATAAAGGACCAATTATAGAATTTACTCTATTATTTGGAAATTAAAATTTAATTTGTGTAATTATTAAGAGCAATTTACCTAAATAGGACTAAAACATAATGACTTTGTCAAAGTAGGACCATATGTTTTTATTTCCGAATATAGGATCTTTGGTCATTATTCTTTAGTCATTATTCAAGTAATGTCTATCATTGCTGGGCATTATTCCTTTCACGAAGACATTATTAAGTCCTATTTAGGGAATAAAAAAGTTTAAGTTCTAGATTAGGAAAGTCATTATGTTTTAGTCCTATTTAGTGCAAATTTCACAATTATGAGCAATTTACCTAAATAGGACTAAAACATAATGACTTTGGCTGCACTGAGAAAAAACTTGGGCGATCCAAACAATGTTCTGCAGAGCTGGGATTCAAACCTGGAAACTCCCTGCGAGTGGTTTCATGTTACCTGCGACTCAGGCAGCGTTACACGAATGTAAGCTGTTCATCGATCTACATGGAGAGAGAATTTAATTTAATACTGTATATATTATTTATCTAATATACTCCATCCCTCCTAAAAACTCATTTCCCTTTTTTTCTTGTCCCACAGACCCCTTTCCCTTTCCTATTGAAAGGCTTTGTTTGGGAACAATGTTTTCGATTAGCGTTAGCGTTTTGGATAAAATTTTGATGGTATAGATTAATTCCGAAAACGCTTACTCTAAAGGCTACCGTCGGATAGCTTTTTCAAAACGCTAACGCTGATGCCAAACGGAGCCAAAAACTACGTTTACCTCCACGAATTCTTAACATAACTATTACGTTGTACTTTGTTACTAATAATGTATTCATCACATCAAGGATATTTTTGAAAAGTCAACACAAAAATATTCATACCTTAAATTTCCTAAATATCAAAATGGGAACATATTTATGGGACGGAGGAAGTATATAATTACACGCCCAGCCTCTTCGATTCTCTCGGCCCAACTTTCATGTCTCATCATTTTTTGCCACTTAATTGGTTTGTTTTTAGAGACTCGAATCAGATCACACTCTCATGTTTCCAGAATGTACGTATACTTTTTTTTATAGTGATCTCGGAAATGTAGGTTTATCGAGTCAACAACTCGTCCCTCAGCTTGGCAGCCTTACGAATTTACAGTACTTGTAAGTTTTTTTTTTTTTTGCTAAAACAATTTATAATAATGGTTAATTTGTTTAACTTCAAACTAATTTTTATTTCATTTTTGTGATCCATTATTGTAGAATGGTATGAAACTAACATGATAGATCGATCTCATGTTTTATTTCCAGGGAACTATATGACAATAACATTAGTGGGGAAATTCCAATGGAGCTTGGCAATTTAACAAATCTACTTTCTTTGGATCTCTATGGTAACAACTTGAATGGTCCTATCCCTCATACTTTGGGCCAGTATTTTAACCTTAAATTTCTGTAAGTTGCATCGATTATAAGTACTTCAATTTCTCCTTTTTTTTTTTTTGAATTGGTTACATGTAGAATGAATAAATAAAAATATTATACTGTACATATTTATTATATGAAATATTGGCACTAAATAGCACTAAAACTTAAGTCATTTTCCTGGATAGCACTTAAACTGTTTAATTCTCTAAATAAAACTTAATAATGTCCAGGAATGTCAAACATTTACTTGAATAATGACTAAAAGTGCTACAATGGGAAAAAACACATGTAATGCTATTTAGAGAAAGTCATTATGTTTTAGTGCTATTTAAGTAAATTCCACTTTATTATATACTCCGTATATAAGAGCTTCATTATATTTGGTCGTCGTCCTTGGTTTCTTAGTTTTGATTCTTCATTCTTCGTTCCTAATTTTTTTGGCGGAATTTTGAAGGAGGCTCCAAAACAACCGTTTGAGTGGTCCTATTCCCATGTCATTAATCACCCTCGATACGCTCGTAGTGCTGTAAGTAATATGGCATAAATAAATAAATAAGTTGGCGTAATTAACATTAATTATATACATCTTCTAATGCTTATCATAATATATATGGTTTGATTCATTTTCAGGGATCTTAGCAATAACAAACTCACTGGTCCCATTCCTACGGAACTGGGTGGCATTACTAGTTTGAGCCACGCGTAAGCACACTTCTTTTCTTTTCTTTCATTTGACCAATTCAAATGTGTGTTTAAGCATGACCTAAAAAATGGTAGATATTTGAGTATGATGGATATCGGGCCCACGAGATAATTGTATGAGTAAGCCTGATCGACAAATACCCAGCGAAGGCAGCCCATCAGAAGAATGAGAGTGGGCCAAGTGATAGGAGAGCTAAAACCCACGGGAATCTTCTATATTTATAAAAAGAAATATTTGCACCAAATAGCACTAAAACTTAAGCCATTTTCCTAAATAGCATTTAAACTACTTTATTCCCTAAATAGCACTTAATAATGTCCAGGAGCTGATGGCGAACATTTAATTTACTTGAATAATGACTAATGGATATTAACTAAAAGTACTACATTGAAAAAAAACACATATAATAGATGCTATTTAGGGAAATCATTATGTTTTAGTGCTATTTAAGTAAATTCCTCTTATAAAAATTATGTCGTAAAAGGAAACTAGAGATTTTGGACGCAAGATTGGAAGGAGAATTTAATCTTTCTAGGATCCGGATACCTAATTTGTCTCCAAATGATATGTATAAATGGACACTTCCTATTAAGGGAGAAGGATCTAGAATTCATTGATTACACGACATATTGTGAGATTTATATTTCTTGTTCATGTTTTTTGTGACTAGATCATTCTTGAGATCCATCACACTAAATTCGTCCATTGTCAATGAATCTAAATAGCCCACTTTGACAATATTTGAATCGGGTTTAGCAAATAATTAACTTTTTTTTTTGAAGCAATAATTAACTTGATTTATGGGCTCCTTAAATTGAACACTTGTTTCTCCGCATATCATGGGCTTTCTATGAATCTTTTTAGAGAATGAAATTGAACAATTAATATAATACCATCTTTGTTTTTTAGATGAGTAAGATTAGGCTTGTACATGTGGACGTCCTTTATACTCCAAGAGTATATCACAAGAGTTGGATTATGCTTCATGATTTCATTTTATACTTAATAATTTCAATTTGAAAGAACAGAACCTCCAAATTAACTTTCTTTGAGTGTCATCTGTTCAACTGATTTTCTTCCTTTAGTAATTATTATTTCCTCAACCCCAAAACAGTTCCTCTGTTGTTATTTCAACTCTTGCTTTATACTCGGAGAATTTTAAATGCTTTTAAAATTTATACGTTTTTGCCTTTTAGATATATCACAAACTTTCGAATATGTATGATTATTTCTTTTAGGGAGGAGAGCATATTATCTATAAAAATCTTTGTCTTTGACAATAAGCTAAGCACCCTAATTCCGTCCTATTAGTAAAATATATTTATTTCCATGTCTCAGAGATTTGTCAGGCAACTGTCTCGATGTGGAAGGGAATCCCTTAACATCTGATACCAGGTAACTCCAACCCAAATTAATTTGTTCCACCCTATATCATTTGGGTGAAGTACCGTCATAACACTAATATATACTTAAATTACCCAATATAACACTTCTATGGGATATTGGGACTCGTATGGAAGCAATATTGCAAATTTGTCCTTGCATTCCACACTGCCAAAAAATGTGTTTAAGTTGGTATACACTTCCAGAATACGGGCATAACACACTGCCCCTCATACACAATATAACATGTATCCACACTGCCAAAGCATGATCATTCCACACAGCCAAAAATGTGTTTAAGTTGGTATAGATTTCCGGGCATAACACACACACACACGAAGTATTTCTTCTTTATCATCTGGTTTCCACCTCTTTTGCCTTTCAAAATTAACCATTCATTTAAAAAAAAGTGTGATTCATATTGTTTTAATCTCATCTACATAAATGTATCTCACACAATTTAACATTACTTATATTTAATTTTGTATAGAAAAATACTCTCTCCGTCCCCCTAAGATGTTCTCATTTTGACTTTTGGTAGTTTTTAAGGAGAGTTGAAAAAAGGTGAAAGTTTACCGTAACACCCTTAATGAAAATGGGTGGAGTGTATTAAATGAAGTGGGTGATGTATAATAAATAAAGTAAGTGGGGGTAGTTGTAGTATTTTAATTGTTAAAAAATGAAATGAAAAGATCTATTGTGGACAAAGAAAAAGGGCTATTGGGAAGATCTATGGGGGACGAAGGGAGTATTAACTCTTCCGAGGATCGAGGAAGTGTATAATTTTTTTAAAATAATATTGCATGTTTTTTTTATTTAATTCTATGTGTTTTAAGTAATTAATGGAGCTTGATTTTTTTTCAATTTTAGGTTTATCTTGGATAGCAGTCCTGACCCAACACGTTGTGCTTGAACAACGTAACTATCATTTGTATGTGGAATGTATGCATGTGATCGTGTGATCATCATATCATCATTTGTTGATTAGTCATGTTTGCTTAAAATTAAGTGTTCACAACTATTTGTGTTTTGTTTGAGTATGTGCACCCATCCAATCTTTTTGGATGTTGTTTAATGATAAATAAGTTCTATGTGTGAGAACTTGTAACAATATAATTAATGTATCCACTCATCATGTCATCACTTTATGTTCAGTTAATGTGTATTTTGTGTTAACTTTTATTAGCATGAGATTTGATCAAATTATGTTTGGCTATAATTTCCAATCTGCATTTGTAATTTTAATCTTTGGTTCAAATTATTATATTTTATATTTAAATTTAATCGAGTAAAAAAGTACCCAGCTAATTGAATGTTTTCTATCGAAGGACGTACAGATCTATGTATAATATCAACGACTCTGGGTAGGCCTATGTACGTTTGACATTGGAAAATTTACTTGGTACTTCAAAATAAATTTCTAATTCATTTAGTGAAAAATAACAATTATTGAATTATGATACTCGTACGAAAGTTGATCACATTTATGCACAAAAAAACTTTGATTCATCACATTCTAAATAGGTGTGGATCGGACGTGTGGTATATACTCCCTCCGTCCTGGAAAACATGGGAGTTTTGATTTTGAATAGAGATTTAAGGGGAGTGTATTTTGGTATTGAATTTCCAAAAATATTCTTTGATGTGATGGGTAAAAGTATGATTTAATGGATAAATTATTAGTAAAAAGGTATGATGTGATAGATAGGGTGTGAAAAAGTAAGGGGTAAAAGTGACTTTTTAATAGAAATGAGAAGTGTTTTTTGGGACGGATGAAAAAAGAAAGGAGAAAGGTTTTCAGGGACGGAGGGAGTATATAATATGAATGTCATTAGCTAGTCAAAGAATTTCCTTTTTCATTCAAGAACTAAATCTACTACTAGAGTACATGCCCCATCCCGATAGAGATCTTGCCCTACCAAATTGTCTCACTCGAGTTGCTTGAAACTTAAAATCAATGGGCCGACATTCTCTCCTTTTTTTATTTTGAATGACATTCTCGCCAATTGATTCGTTGAATTTGATGTATGGTAAAAAAGAACTTGAAAATTTGAATATCTCATAAGGTGGGGGACACGGTATCGGTTTGTTTCGTGTTCTAACTCCGAAACCACCGGTTCGAGTACTCATTTTAACTACATAATTGACTCCAAGCTCGTTCATTGGTGGTAATTTTTATGAATCAACCTAAAACGAATTGAAAACAAGCATAAAAACAAAAAAAAACAAAAAAAACTAAATCAATATTCTCTCCAACTGATTTTGGTACCAAAAATTGAAAATCAAACCGGAACCTTTATTTGACGGTTCATGTTCTAAGACCGTCGATTCCTATTCCGGAACCTGTTTAGAATCAGTACCATGAACAGTTCCATACCAAAGATTTAGTTTGATCTTATTTTCTTAAGAAAAATTACTCCATCTGTTCTCAAAAACACTTCCTCTTTCATTTTTTCTACTTCCAACAAAACACTTCCCCTTTCTATTAAAAAACCACTTTTACCCTTACTTTTTCATACCCTACCTATCACATCATACTTTTTCTCTAATAATCTATCCATCACATCTTACTTTTACCCATCACATCAGGGGCAAAATTGGAAATCAACTATAATTGAACACTTCCTTATTTTTGCCCCCAAATCAAATGGGAAGGGTTTTTCAAACGGAGGGATTACTAAAGTAGCAAACAACCTAGAAGTAGCTAATTGTCCCGAAGAGCTAAACCAAGATAAAAAAACCTCGATGTCAGTTAACCAAGTTTTTGTAAAAAGGAACTGATATTTTCTTTGGAAGCAAAGTAAGCTGAAAGTTTGATAAATCCACAAAAGAAATAAATTTCAGCACAACCATCATTGAGAACATATACACTTTTCCTGATATGAACTTACAATGAAAGAAGTAGAACCAAAATTCAAGTCCTTAGAACTGAGTTTCAGAATATGAGGGGTGTTAATCAAGTTAATCCCAAAAAGATGTTATCTCAGGTTATCACTATTCTAAGAGCCTAGTATCAAAATTAACCAAACTCAAACGGCTTAAAAGCCATTAGAGGTTATAACAGAAAACTTAAATGGGATGAAACTCTGAAAATAAATGCACAATCCTAGGCGATCACTTCAGAGCAATTGTACTGCCTGAATAGGAATTGACACAAACTTATATATACTGCAGCCAATCAGCATCTTCGACAACATTGTTCCAGCCACCACAGTCGTTTGTATCCTTAGTCACCATCATAACCAACTGATTATGTCAGGAAAATGTCATTTATCTGATCTTAATGGATAACAACCTGATTATGCCACGAAAAATGTCATTTCTGTGATCTTAATGAATATCTCACAATAATGAAACGGTGTAATGAATTAAAATAATTTGATTTAGCTTGCCAAAAGAAATCAACATGTTTCATTGAATTGAGATTCATAATCACTTGTGAGAATTTCTAAATTAAAAAGCAGTTAATTTAAAAAATATACTCCCTTGATCCCTAAATAAGCGTCGTTTGTAATATTCCTTGAATATATATTGGGCACTCCCAATAATATATACTCTCTCTATTCTCAAAAAGACTTCTTATTTTAACCAAATGTAAATATAAGGAAGTGTTAAATTGTACTCTCTCCGTCCAAAAAAGTCTGTCACGTTTCGAAAAATTTGCGTCCCTTAAAGTCCGTACCATTTCTATTAAAAAACCACTTTTACCCCTTACTTTTTCATACCCTACCTATCACATCATACCTTTTTCCTACTAATCTATCCATCATATCCTACTTTTATCCATCACATCAAGGGTATTTTTGGAAAGTCAATACAAAATTATTCCTCCTTATTTTACCACTTTAGTCAAAATGTCCCAATCTTTTTGGGACGGAGGGAGTAGTTGACTTCCAATTTTGCCCATGAGGTGATGGATAAAAGTAAGATATGATGGATAGATTATTAGAGAAAAAATATTATGTGATAGGTAGGGTATGAAAGAGTAAGGGTAAAAGTAGTTTTTAATAGAAATTGCAAATGTTTTGTCGGAAGTGAAAAAATAAAATAGGAAATGTTTTTTAAGAAGGGCGGGAGAATAGTTATACTAGCAGGATCAGAAGATTTTTGGAATTTAGACTTTTTAATTTTTTGGTGGAAGGTGTCCATGCAACGGCAGTGATAGGTCAGATCTTCATGGTTTCCAGTGACAATTCGTGAGGCTGGATTCTTTGGCAAACTGAAAGAAGGGACAAGATTCAGGTGTCATCTCCTATCATTTGTGAAATTATCTAATTGTTTGCTAAGTGTCTAGAAATTTTTTTAGGTTAGAAAGATAATATGCCTATTTTCTAAATGATTACAGCGAACTAAAATGTTTCTCTATTGCTTTTTAAATGTTTTGGGAATTTTGAGCATCCCCAAAGACTTATTTCATATTGTAAAGCTGCAGTAGAAGGTTCAAGCTAAGGTGAGATAATGTATTTTTTAAGACATATGTTATACTATATGCAATCAATGGATATAAACACAATCCTCTACATATTGTAGGAATATATAAAGTATATGCTACCCCAAATTTCATATCGTAGTTTGACTCTCATTATTACATGAATTTTTTTTTATAGTTGATGCCGATGCAAGAAAGGATTAATTTTTAAGTTAATGACATTACTATAGTTTGTAACTTTTGGCTTAAAATTGTTTGTTTACATGTTATTGGTAAATCCTTATGACTTAATTTCTCTCATACCAGATTTAATAGAATGTAAAGATACCATTTTTTCTGATGTCTTTGTTGCAGAATAGACAAAGAAACTGTTACGGAAAGATGAAACTATTTACATGTCTATCCTAAAATAGAGACATCAGAGTGCAGCTATCTTCCTATTTACAACAGCAGCAGGAATCATCTCGCCCAAATTTTTACGCGTGAACAATAAAAAAAATAGACAGCAACCTGCCTGCTCAACTGCAACGTGTTAATCAACTGCTCACTTTTGCACTTCCTCCATAGCGTCTTCCTTCTCCATCGTCACCTACTATAGCTCATAATTTGGCTACCATTGAGCGCTAGAAGGTTGTCAATTCGTTTGTGGAAGCCCGTGGATCTGTTGGTGTAATCAACCATTTAGCATTTGTTTAGTTGATTAGTTACATAGTTTGTTAGTTAGTTAGGAAGATATTTTTGGTTGTAACTTGTTTTTCATTTTCTATATATAGAAGTTAATCATGTAATACAAAAGTTGAGCTAGTTAATACGTACACTTAATTCCAACATGTTATCAGAGCCGGTTGCTATAGCACCAAGCAATCACTCCTTATCTTCAATTTTCTCTCTGGCACCATTACGCTTCCCAATTCTTCTCTCCTTATCTTCAACTTCGATCCTAGAGATTTCCAGCGATGGAGTTGAATGGCCGATTCGCCTATTACATCATGTCCCAACCGATGCATCTATCTTCGCCGATTATCTCGCGTCGCTGAATCGTCGCAGTACAGCTTGCTCCGGTCCGAGGCGCGGGCGGCGGCGCCGTCTCAATCGCGACGATTCGAGTCTTTCAGGACAATAAAGCTCAGATCTGGCTCGATCGAAGTGCCAGAGGGACACCTGCCGGTGTACGTCGGAGAGGAGATCGAGAGGTTCGTCGTGAGCGCGGAGCTCCTCAACCACCCCGTCTTGTTCGCCTCCTCAACCAGTCGGCGCAGGAGTACGGTTACAAGCAGCAAGGCGCTCTCCGGATCCCCTGCCACCAGCCTCAGATCCACCAAACTCGCCACATGGGATCTCCGTCGACTACAGAGCGTATCCCTATGGAAATCAACGACAGCTGTGGTTCCGTCTTTGAAGATCCCCTATTATGGGCTCTCCATTCTTCAGGTCTCCTTCACGTATTGATCTCTCCAATTGAGATTGAGTATCAACTTCATTTTCATCCTCAATGGCAGCCCTTGATTGCTGCAATTCCTCTCTAAGATTTTCAATTTCAGCTTTAATAGTTGGAGTTTGTTGCAAATCTGCATTCATCCTTTTCAGATTTTCAGTCATCCCCTGAATCTCAGTTGTGTGCTCCTGTTTAGCACCATTTAAAATTTTAAATCTGCATCTTTACAGATTTTTTTCATGAAGTTCTCTTAGCTTTATTTTCATTCTCATAATTTGAATGTTCAGTTTCAATCATTCTCTTTCATTTCTGTAATTCAGAAGTTTCATCATTGTTCAATTTCACTCAGTCGGTTTGATTGAGTTTCACTCGTATCGTTTTGATCGAGTTTCACTTTCATCATCATCCGGTTTTCGATTGATTTCATCAATTGCTTTTGTCAATTGATTTCATTTCATCTTTTGATGTTTTCATGTGAATTCATCAATTGATTTGTCATCTTAACTTCATCATCGGTTGTGTCTCTCAATTTCAGAACCATGGTTTTTAGATTTCTTGGGTTGCCAAGTCAGACGAGTTCTTTGTGACGGAAGAAAGGCAAAGAAGTTAAAAGAGAATGGATCTGCAGATCCCTCTGGTGGACATACAATAAACAGGTTGTTCCCTCACACTTTTGGTCAGGCATTGGCTCATTTTCTGAGGGCAAATGCAAATGTCCCAGTAGCTCAGATAATCACAGAACATCCAACAATTAGGGTTGGACTTGTTTTTTGTGGTAGACAATCTCCACGAGGACAGAATTTCATATGGGGGTTGTATGGTGCCCTCAAAGTTCACAATTCTTAAAGTACTTTGCTTGGATTTTTGGGTGGTTCTGAAGGTCTATTTGCACAAAAGACACTTGAAATCAATGATGACATTCTGGATACATATAAAAATCAAGGTGGTTATGACATGTTGGGCAGAACTCAAGATCAAATTGGAACAACTGAGCAAGTAAATGCTGCTTTGGCTGTTTGTACACCCTTAAATTGGATGGTCTTGTCATCACTGGAGGTGTCAAACACAAGATGCTGTAAGCTTCACAGAAAAGTTTGTTGTTTAGGCATGGTCAACAAGGATCTTATTCAGTTGCAAGTTGAAGTTGTTCCCACCTTCAACTTGAGGTGGGGGTGTTGGTGTAATCAAGCATTTAGCATTTGTTTAGTTGATTAGTTACATAGTTTGTTAGTTAGTTAGGAAGATATTTTTTGTTGTAACTTGTTTTTCATTTTCTATATATAGAAGTTAATCATGTAATACAAAAGTTGAGCTAGTTAATACACTTAATTCCAACAATTCTCTGTCATTTTACAGATAAATTGGTACCCAATCGAAGAACGAGAAGAAAAAGAAAGGGATACATTCACTGATTCAGGAAGAAGGTTTCACCCTTTTTTTGTTTCTATTTTAATTTCTTTACATCTATAGTAGTATTTACAGTTTTTTTTTTATTTTCATGGAGGCGGCGTTCGTCGACAGGGGGTAGGACGAATGGCCATGGTTTCATGCAACGACAGTGCTGGGTCGATTTGTGCTTTTGATCATCTTTCCAGAATCCCAGGTATCCTCTAAAATTTCATGACTCAATTTGTAGAGTTGGAAGATAAATTCTCACCCCAGTATTGCAGAAGTTATTGGCACATAGGTCCAGGCTATAGCGTGTTTTCAACTTTTTTTCTACTTCATTTTAGTTGTATTGTGTTGTTGTCCACCTTCTATAAATGTTCTTCAAGGTCTAGGCAGGTCCCGTCCCTTTTAAGTTTGTAGATTTGCACGGGTAAAGAGTTGTCACATTTGATTTGTGCTCCAATGATCTCTTCTATCACATTTAATTGTCAGGTTCAATGGAATAATGCGATTGCCCGCAACAGAATGGCCTGCGACCTCATCAAAGAAGAAGCTTACGAATATAGGCCTTTAGCAATTCCTCTGTAACTGAAATTCCACTTCAAGTGTTCCCTTCAAATCCTCCAATTTAGAAAGCTTCTTCTTCTGTGTCTCGACCTTAGCATATCCGACGGTCAAATTCATGCAAGGCAGGGACACACTAATTCAGCAACTAGGTAACACCGTTTTTCCGATTCTAATTTATTTATATTTGCGGTAGGATCTTCAATCATCTTCTTCCTCTTTAATGTTACCTGCTTTGGATTCTTGCTATAGGTCAAGGACGTCACGCTGATTTAAGGACACCACCATTTTAAGGCGGAACTTTTTTCTTCTCTTGAATTCTTTATTTAGATTTGTACTTTTTAAAAAGAATGGTGATTTTGAATTCATTTTTTACTGTTTTGTAATTTTTTGAATATGCTCTCTTTTCATAATCTGATAACCTTCAAGTTGAAGTGCAGAATTTATGTCTCTCATTCATTGTAGTCATTTTTTCTAATTACTTTAACATTATGTTTGGTTCAAGGAATTCGGAAGAAAAGAAAAGAAAATGATTCTCTCTCTTTCTTTACCAAAATAGAGAAATTCGGTTTCCTCTCCTTTTATTTTACTTTCTTATTTTCTTCTCTCAAACCAAACATGAAAAATTGTTTTTCCTCTCATTTTCTTTCCTTTTTCCTTTCAAATTACTTGAACCAAGCATAGTGTAAGAGGTATTCATTGTTTTTGAATTAAAGCAATGTTTTTTACTTAATACGTCCCTTTTTGTTTTTTGTAATTGATGAACTATCTTCCAATGCTTGATGATCCCTTACTCAGTACATCCCTTATTGTTTTCACTACATCCCTTAACAAACTTTTGTGGACTTGAGTACAGAGTATGATCCTATGAAGCGTTTAGTAATTGATGAACTATCTTCCAGTGCTCTGCCTAAGAAATGCAAGATCTTTAAGTTTAAAAAAAAATTAATTGTGTTAGAATAGTAGATGTGTGGATCTTACTTTCTCTTTTGTATTTGCTACTTCAAATATAGTGAGAAATTTTAAGTGCTTACTAAATGAAAGCTATGTATTATAACCTATTTATGTCAAGTCACGATTTTTATTTTTTAAAAATGAGTTGCATCTTCAAGTAGAAGAGGTTGATGTTAAGGTGATGTTAGAATGGTCTCTTGGACAATTGCAGTTTGTTATTCTATCTTGGAGTCAATTTAGGTTACCAACTTGCATGTTTTCACTTCTTAGAAAATGACATGATATACTACAAAGTGATAGGGAGACAAGGTTATTGCAAATTGGTCTTTTGGATAGTTGTTTCTTTAAGTAAGAACAAGTTAACATCTTGCAGGCTTTCTGTTGGGGACTTGTCGTGAGGTCCAAAACAAATTAAAAATTTATAAAATAATCTTAGCTAATCCCCAAGATATAATCAAATAAAAACTATAGCTAGGGCAAGTAAGGGTCGATCCCACGGAGAAAGACTGTACTTTTGAATCATTTAAGCATGAACACACATTGTCACTAAACGAAACAAACTAACTACTACACATATGATAACACTTATAAAACTTTTAATAAAACTTATAACTAATAAATATAAAAACTCATAAATATAACTTATATAAACAAAGAACTTATAATATAATTTATACACAACACAAAGGGGGGGGTTGAATAAAAAGTAAATATTTTTTTGATTTTTTATTTTTCTTATTTTTTTGATTTTTTTGATAAAATGGGGGAAAGCAAGCTCCAAAGATAATCATCTACTCCAACAAAAGTAACCCAAGAACACCACCAAGAACCCGAAACAAAATGAAAAAAGAGAACAAACACAATTGAACATTACACGTATAATAGGCACGTAGACAATATATTACGTAACTTACGCACTTAAGAATAGGAAAAATCAATCAAAGGCCGACTCAATTCATTTCTTTAACCACGATATGGAGGATTGTCAACTCTCCACACGGCCAGGGGTCATGTAATTCAAAGGCCCATTTTGAAATATACCTTAGAACCCCAACTCATCAATCAAGCATGAAAACATACTTCCACTATAGAAAAAGTTTATAAAAGAACGAATTTTTTTTCATTCTAACTCTCATGCATAATATATTCACAAATCGCCAATAACTTATGCATTTTAATAAACTTTTTCTCCTAATGATGAGCACATTTCACAGATTTCCATGAACTTCTCAAACCAATGACGTTTTTTCTATTCACATAGATAAACACAACATATTTTCACTAAATCAAGAATTGTTTTTGAGCTTAAACAACCTTAATTTTATGAAAATAACGAACAAACATACGAGAAAATACACAATCACTCAATAACGAATTCTAAGAAAGATGAATCAACTTATGGGGCTAAGAAGTCCAAAATTCTTAAAAACAACGAACACAATGCACAAAAAAGATTCACGTATGAATTCGGAGTTCATTTAACTACCTTATGGAGCTAAAATAGCTTCAACAAAAACCGAATTCCACATACCAACCTACTTATGAAATCAAATTATACAATTCAACCAATTCAACAACTTGCTCAATAATTGAAGAAAAACTAGTTTGAATGAATTCTGTTAAAGAGCATCCCACATCGAAAAAGTGTGAGAAAATTAATCGGTATATAAGCTCTTGAGTTAAACTAACTAATAGATTGGATTCAATCTTTTAATGTGGTTCAGCTCAAGTGTCTTATTGCCCAATCCAGTTATCCACACCCAATCCTAAATTTATCATGGTATCAGAGAAGGATTTGACCCACTTCGTTTGTCAAGGTGTCCGTCTAGACGTTCATTCCTAGCGGCTCGTTTGTCTTTAGCCCAGTTGTCCGTATGGAGTATGTACCCAACGGCCTGTGGCCCGTTTAACACGATTGCTCGTCTAGAAGTCCATACCCAGCGGCTCGTGGTTCTTTAGGTGTTGGCGCTCAAAAAAAAAAAAGTCAAGGGAATGGGAGTTGATTTGCAAGTGGTCAACCGGTTAGATTCAAAATGGCCCGGTTGTCCACTTGAGGGGGAGTGTTAAAGAGCATCCCACATCGAAAAAGTGTGAGAAAATTAATCGGTATATAAGCTCTTGAGTTAAACTAACTAATAGATTGGATTCAATCTTTTAATGTGGTTCAGTTCAAGTGTCTTATTGCCCAATCCAGTTATCCACACCCAATCCTAAATTTATCAAATTCTCATTCATAAGGGATTTAATATAAACATTAAAAAAACCCAAAAAGAAGAACACCAACCATTTTTGGAATTTTCAAAATTAAAACAAGGGAAAAGAATGTAAATTGAATCAAAAACAAACTTTTACAAAGAAATTGGAGAAGAAAAAAGAAATTGACAATTATTGGATTACCAATTGGAGGAAGAAGATGAAGAAATTGAAGAAATTGGAGCTGTGATGGAACAGCCTAACCTCTGCCCGGAGCTACTGCTGACCGCTCGACGGAACTGATGCCGCCGCCGGTTCGCGTCTGCCGGCCGTCCGCCGCTGCGCCAGAGATGTCCGCCGGATTCCGCCATAGCAGCGGCTTGGCCGCTGCTTTATTCTCGTCTGTTTCCCCCTTCCGGTGCGCGGCTTAATTTCAGTTGCCGCGGCCTAGAGCCGCGGCTCTCTGCGTGATATTTTTCCCCCTCCTTCTTCAAATGTGATTTGTCTTCAATTTATAGCCGAAGGATTGTTCCGTTAATTTCTTCCCGTTGGCAATTGATTCTAGCGATAAATGTGGGGGAGCGTTGGAGCGTTGAAGGAATTGATCGCCGCTGCTTGCGCGAAGAAGAAGTCGCTGAATTTCTTTTTCCTTTCTTGCTGGACCTGAAATCAAATTGGGGGAGTGAATGCTGGGTTGGTCTTCCTTTGTGTTGGGTTTGGGCTCCGGCCCAAATTCAATCTCCTCTTTTCAAACTTAAACTGCACTTTGGCCTTTTTGCTACATTTTTCTCCAAAAAATAAGATATCTAATAACTTGGGTTAGGAAAAATAAAATGAAAACAATAAGATGTAAAAAAATGACTAAAAATCTACTATTTATGAGAAAAAGAATAAAGATTATAAAAATGAGAATTAAAATAAAACTAAGCTAAACTACTAAAAATTAAACTCCAAAAATATTAAAAAATGCCCAAAATTGGATAAAAAGTACTAACCCAAACCCAAGTTATCACTTTCAAACGTTTGAAAATGAGCAAAGTGAGAGGAGTCTAGTTACTGCAGAGACACTATTGCCCAAGAAGCTAGCTTTGGAGTCTCCTTTCACTCAATTTTATAATTGTAGTTAAGGGTCTTAAGTTTACATGTCCTTTTCTTTATAGAGTTTTCTCCTACCCCACTCTTCCCCCAATTTATTCAATTGGCTTTTGATTATATTGTCTTGATTTGTACATTTATTTATTATGTACAGTAATAATAATTTTTTTAAAAAAGGTTTATGTATACTTTTGCTATGAAGTATTTATTCTTTATATTTTGAAGCAAATTAATTTTCATTCATCTTATGGGTCAATCTCTATTAAATGTCAAGTTATTATTAAAATCTCAATGTTTAGTTGTGGTGAATTTAAGAGGTTGTCTCGCGTGCAACAAATTAGTTAGAATTGAAAATCTTGAGTTGCGATAATAAAATAATCCTCTGAATCACATTTCAAATACATGTATAACAAAGTTTTTTAGAATTTCTAACTTTGGTTCAATTCATTTAATATAATTTTTGTCAAATAAAATAGTTACATGGGAAAATTATGTGTGGCGAGTCTTATTAGAAATAATTGTAATTATATGAAACATTATTTAATTATATACTTTTATCGTGCATCGCACGGGTTAAATTCTAGTTCTAGTGAATTTGCATGCCAAGTTCCGATCGAGATGCCCAATTGGCCCACGAGTTTCAATAAGTATTATACGTACGAGATAGGACTCCGGTTAATTTGGTTCTGTTTAATTATCAATAATTATAATCACTCGTTTACGCTGCTTGCTTGATCCTGTGATTACTATTTTCCAAACGGATTGGTACTCATTTCTTTTTTTTATTTATTTTTGTTTTTTCCCCTTTTTTCCCTATATTTGTTTGTTTTGCATATAAAGGTTATTGATTTATTTTGAAAATAATTTTTATAATGTTTTTAAAATTAACTTTTCTTTTTTGAAATAAAAAATAAAGAGTAATTAACAAATATTGCATAGAAAAGAAAAATCTTTTTCAAGGAACTTCAAAAAATGAGGAATAAAATACGGATTAAGAAATAAAATCAAATAAAAAATTAAAATGATTTTTTTTGACATCGCAATTCTAAGGATTTTTTTAGAAGTTCCGAATTTTCCATTTTTTATAACAGTATTTTTGTATGTTTCAATTTTTTTATTTTCTTTTTTCTATGTTTTTATGTTTAATTTGTTATTCATATTTTCTTTTTATAACTTCCCAAAAAACATTTATTTGATTCTAGAACACAAAAAATTAAAAATCTTTAAATCGAGATGAATGAAGTATATGAAAGTTTTATTTTGTTTTTTATTTTCGAACACAAAAAAAACTTTGAAACTACACGGGTCCAAGTAGAGATGACAAATCGGTCGGTCAGGTCGGGTTTGGGTTTGGTCACTTCGAGTTCGGGTTATTTCGGGTTTGAGTTAATTCGGGTTCGGGTTGAGAACTGTATGTTCATCACCCAGTGTCATCAGGTTCGAGTCGACCCAACGGGCTATGACTTTGGTTTTTTAAATTTTTAAATTTACATTAACACTTACATTTTCTATTAAATAAACTTAAAATATAAAAAAAAAATATGTATTACATCTATTAGATTATTCTATTTTAAATCATAAAAAAAATTAGATACTCCCTCCGTCCCACTCTATTTGTTCACTTACCTTTTGGCACACCATCCAATGCACTTCTTTAATCCATTTTATCTTGTAATTTGTATATTAGAAAATTATAGAAATTATATATTAATAATCTATATGTTAAGACAAATCAAACAAGATCACACATGACTATATTTAGGCTTACACATTGAGAGAATTTGATGAGTCAAAGTGCTTAGATGAACAGTTTCAAAAGTCAAAAGTGGACAAAGAGAGTGGGACGGAGGTAGTATATAAATCAATATAAGGAATTTAAAAAATTGCTTAAGTTTTAGAAAAAAGTAAGATAATTATGTAATTCATTAATTAAAATTTTGTCTGAAAATATAAATTTATACATTAAAAATGAGTAGTAAAGTGTATGATTTTGAAAAATTTTTACTTTGGCCGGTCGGTCAGGTCGGGTTCAAGTTCGGTCAATTTTGACCCATTTTTAGCGGGTCATTCCGGATTCGGTCATCAAAACCTTTGTTCAAAACCCAGTATTTTTAGGTCGGGTTTCGGGTCAAAAACAGGCCGAGTCATTTTTTTCTAGGTCTAGGTCCAGACAATAGAGTAGTTTCCCTCTTTACCCTCATACTAAGGTGTCCGCAATCATTTTGATTTATGGATCCGCCACTGTTTACAAGATTTGTGAGTACTTTTCTCGTCCTTTTTCTTTGGAATATATTTCATAGAATTAACTTTTTTATCAATTAAATATAAATTAAATTGCATATTAATAGTACAATGCTATGTTACCCAGATTCTTCAAATAGGTCTGCTTGATGTCCCCGATCGAACCATGCCCAGTCGGGTACATGGCGACAACCTCACACTCAAATCCTTTACAAATTTAAAAAAAAAAACTGGTGTTTCATTCTTCTAACCCCATCCTTGTATGAATATGTTTCTATTCCCGTCCCGGTGCAACTTAAATACAAACCGTACAATCTAACAGTTTCGTGATGTTTTTTGCACGAGAAATCTAATGAAATTAATTTTGTAATACTATGTACAAAATTTGTATTGATAAAACTTAGTATGGGTAGGACGGTAGGAGTCACTGGATTATGTCATAAAACACTTGGACTAAATCTCATTAAATGATTGAATCTAATCAATTACCTTTTACTTTGTTCAACTCACTAGTTCTTATACACATTATTTTCATCTCATTTATCTACTCGAGAGGAAGTGTTAGTGTCTCCATATAAACAATTGAGAAGAATATAATGGATATACGGAGTATAAGTTTTTGAATTGAACTAAGTAATCAATTAAATTTAAGTTTATAATATAATTCATCCTAACTGTCTTACGACCCAATAATTCAATCCAATATAGTGACCACATCCTAAAATTTATCAAATTCAAGTTTAAAATGGTGATGTTGGGGTATTTGTTGGGGGCATGCTAGGGGTACAGCAAAATGGTGTATCCTAATTGTATATTAGACAAGCACAGATACTAAGGGCATGTTCCTTAGGACTAGAAAAAAAGAGTTTGACATTCAAAGAAACTGGATGTTGAAAAAAAGAGACTTATGTTTTACTCCTAATTTAGTTTTTTCTCTAAAATATTTTGACTTTCAAAAAATGTTATAAAAATTTAAAAAATGTTTTCCTCATATCAATTTAGAAGAGTGTGAATCGTAAAAATAGTGACATGGAAAAAATAAAAAATGAAATAATTTATAAACTATAGTTATGAACAAAATTGTTGTAATAATAATAATGATGAAGATGATAATAATAATAATAATAATAATAATAATAATCACATTAAAAATACATCTTTTTTAGAGTAATTGTTTGGGAGTATAAAGGGTTTGAATATAATGAGAATAATTGTAAAAAACTGCAAGGAACTAGAAGAAACTGAAAAAAAATTAAAAGAACTCGAAAAAACTGGAAAGAATCGGCGGTTCTGGAATCGGAACCGTACCTTGTCCATCCCTAGTCCTAGAGTATTTGTCTAATTTTTGCTTTTTTGAGTCAGTCATTTTCAACCTTTGACCTATAATTACATAAAATATATATTGTATATTAATTAGATAAAATTACTTTTTGAAAATATCTTATATAATAAATCTAATAAATCTATTTTTGTATCAATATTTGATATTATTTTTATTTAATTTGGGGTCAAAATTTACCAATTTTGACCGAAAAAAGTCAAAATGGATAAATACTCTGGGACAGAGAAGTATTTATTATGATAAAATTGTTCAAATAGTTATTCCAATTATGCTAAAATATATGCTACCTTCGTCCAAAAATTTCATTCCTGTTTTGACTTGGCATGAAGATTAAGAAAAGTTAAAAAGTGTAAAGACTTTCCATATGTTGCCTTTGATGTGATGGAATAAAGTGGATAGTATAAATAAAAAGTGGGGGTATAATGACAAACTCATTGAAAAAATTGGCAAAAAGGAAACGGGAAAAAAATTTAGACGGCCAAAAAAAGAAAGTGAGAAAGAAATTAATGGAGGGGTGAATAACAAATTTTTCTTTTATATATATATATATATATATATATATATATATATATATATATAGGGGCCGGTTCCCGTGAGAATGCACCTTGTGGAGAGAAATGAGAATAAAATCTAGCCGTCAGATCTGATGCATCGTGCGGCTCAGATTGCATCCTGCGCTCAGATTTTGAGATAGTGCATTTTCGAAGGTTTATGATGCATTTCAACGTGATGCATTTTCGCACCATTTTGGTGCATCTAATTTTGATGAAATCTTGACCCTTAGATCTCACAATCTAAAGCACCAGATTCATTCTCATTTTTCTCCTAAGATTGCATTCTCACCA